CCACTTCCGGCTTTTTTCTTTTTGTTTACGTGGTGCAGAGGAATCGAACCCAGGGCCTTGAGCATGCAAGGCAAGCACTCTACCACTGAGCCACCTTCCCAGCCCCTGCTTAAATTTTCTTATTCTGGGCTGGAACTCTATCACTTGAACCACAACTCTATTTCCGGCTTTTTGGTGGTTCACTGAAGCTAAGAGTCTCACAGACCGGCTGGGAAGATGGCTCAGTGGTAGAGTATTTGCCTTGCATGCATGAGGCCCTGGGTTCGATTCCTCAGCACCATATAAGCAGAAAAAGCTAGAAATGGCCTTGAGGTTCAAGCGGTAGCGTGCTACCCTTGACCTGAAAACCTGAGGAACAGCGCCCAGACCCAGAGTTCAGGTCTCATGACCGACAAAAACAAAAGCAAAAAAATTCAGTCTCACAGGCTTTCCTGCCAAGGCTGCCTTTGAACTGCAATCCTCAGATCTGAGCCTCCTGAGTAGCTAGGATAACAGGCATGAGCCACTAGCGCATGGCTACAGCTCCAGTCTTTTTTTCTTTTTCTTTTGTCGGTTGTGGGCCCTGAACTCTGGGCTGGGCGCTGTCCCTCAGCTCTTCAGCTCAAGGCTAGTGCTCTACCACTTGAGCTACAGCAACACTTCCAGCTTTTTCAGTTTATGTGGTGCTGAGGAATCGAACCTAGGGCCTCATGCATGCAAGGCAAGCACTCTACCACTGAGCCACCTTCCCAGCCCCAGAGAGCAACAATCTTGAATGAAAAAAATTCAAGAGAGGGCAAGGTGCTGAGCACCATCACACATGTGTATGTGTGCACACGCAGGCAGACACACACATATATGAATCCGACCAGCCTAACTTACACCCTCAGCACCCTGTCCTGACACCTAGCCTAGTCCCTGAGAAAACGGACATTCATCCCCAGGGACCCACAGTGCCCTCTGGACCTCTTCCTGAAGAGCTGAGGGTTGCAGAGGTTCAGCTGAGAGAGGATGGCCCAAAGCCAAGGATTGACCCTTGCAATGTTGATGTCAGCTGACCACAGAGCTGGGCCAAACCAAAAGGGGGCGAGATCTATAAAAGGCTTCTGCATCCAAGAGCCAGAAGAGCCAGACCAACCCACAGCCCTGCTGATCTCGGTGCACCTGTTTTCCACAGGTACCTTTCTAGGCCTGCTCTTCTGTCCCTGGGGTTTCCTGCTTATATCCTGGGATCTAAGAAGAATGGATTAGGGGAGGGGGGGGGGAAGGAAGAGGTGCTGATTTCTCATTATTTGTCAGCATCTCTAGTTTTAGTTGAGCAGTTTCAACTAGGTAGGTTTCCTCCACCCCACCTCTCGCTTTTTTTGGGGGGGGGGGCAGACCAGGGGCTTGAACTCACGGCCATGGCCCAGTCCCTCAGCATATATACTGAAGGCATGCACTCTACCACCAGAGCCACAGGTCCACTTCTGGCTTCTGGGTGGTTCACTGAAAATAAGAATCACTTGGATCAGCTGGTTTTGAACCCCAATCCTTAGACCTAAGCCTCTTGAGCAGCTGGTATGTTAGGCATGAGCAACCAGCACCTGGCTCAAGCAGGTGTGTTTCTAAGACGCAGAGTGGAGAGAGGGGGAGAAAGACCTACCTGGAGCTAGAAAAATCCATAACCGGGCTGGGAATGTGGCTTAGTGGCAGAGTGCTTGAAAACTCCCTGGCCCTGGGTACATGCTACTTCAGCTTCCAAGACGCAGAGAAGCAGACACTGGTGGTGGCTCCCATCTGTCACCCCAGCTACTCAGGAGGCTGAGATCTGAGGATCATGGTTTGAAGCCAGCTGGAGCAAGAAAGTCCATGTGGCAACAACAACCACAAAAATCATTTATTTCCACTCCAGCTTCAGAATTAGAAACTGAGGAGGAGTTCTGAACGGGTGTCCATGTCTAGTGAATGAATGAATGAATGTACAAATGAATGATGACCCCACCTCCATCTCTGCCTCTCTCCTTGCCCCCTGCATGCAGCACCCATGGCGCAGGTGCTGGGCATCTCCTTCACAGCCACTGAGCTGTTGCTGGTGACCGCCATCTTCGGCCTGGTCTTCTGGGCCATCAGAACCTCCACATCTCGGGTACCCAAAGGCCTGAAGAGTCCGCCAGGGCCCTGGGGGTGGCCAGTGCTGGGGCACATTTTGACCCTGGGGAAGAACCCCCACCTGGCGCTGACCAGGCTGAGCCAGCAGTATGGGGACGTCCTGCAGATCCGCCTCGGATCCACCCCCGTGGTGGTGCTGAGCGGCCTGGACACCATCCGCCAGGCCCTGGTGAAGCAAGGTGATGATTTCAAAGGACGGCCAGACCTGTACAGCTTCTCTTTAGTGACCAATGGGCAGAGCATGTCCTTTAACCCTGACTCTGGGCCCGTGTGGGCTGCCCGCCGGCGCCTGGCCCAAGATGCCCTGAAGAGCTTTTCCATAGCCTTGGACCCAGCCTCCACATCTTGCTATCTGGAGGAGCACGCAAGCAGACAGGCCAAGAGCCTCGCAGACACTTTCCAGAAGCTCACGGCAGAGTCCGGGTGCTTCGACCCCTATGAGCATCTGGTGCTGTCGGTGGCCCGCGTCATCAGTGGCATGTGCTTCGGGGGGGAACTTCCTGCAGAACAGTGAGATGGTCACCGTGGTCACCACCAGCCAGGACTTCGTGGATGGAGCCTCTTCTGGGAATGCCGTGGATTTCTTTCCCATCCTCCGATACCTGCCCAACCCCTCCCTGAAGAGGTTTAAAGTCTTCAACCAGAAGTTCATCACGTTTCTGCAGAAAACAGTCCAAGAGCATTACCAGGACTTTGACAAGGTGAGCCATGGATGCAGGTGATAAAGGAAGCAGCCACAGAGCCCGATGTGTGTGGGGAGGAAGGTGGGGGGCTGGGGCGGGGAAGCCCTGAGGCCTGTCTCCAAGACAGTGCACACAGTTCATGTTCTATACAGATCTAGGAAGAGCTGGGTGCCTGTGGCTCAGGACTGGCATCCTAGCTACTCAGGAGGCTGATTCTGAGGACTGGAGTTCAAAGCCAGCCTGGGCAGAAAAGTCTGTGAGACTCTTCTCTCCAATTAACCCACAAAAAGCCAGTTGTGGAGCTGTGGTTCAAGTGGCAGAATGCCAGCCTTGAGCACTAAAGCTCAAAAACAGCACCTAGGTCCTGAGTTCAAGTCCCAGGACCAGCTAACACATACACACACTGGGGACTCACACCCGTCATTCTAGCTACTTGGGTGGCTGAGATCTGAACATCACGGTTCAAAGCCAGCCCAAGCAGGAAAGTCTGTGAGACTATTTATTATATGTAATTAAGCACAAAGAAGAGGCGCTGTGGCTCAACTTGTAGAGCGCTTGCCTTGAGCTGAAGAGCTGAGGGACAGTGCCCAGGCCAAGAGTTCACGTCCCAGGACCAACAAAAAATAAAAAAATAAAGACGGTGTAATTAAACATGCAAAAACCAGAAATGGTACTCTGGCTTAAAGTGGTAGAGCACTAGCCTTGAGCAAAGAGCCCAGGCCCAACTTCAAGCCTCATGACTGACAAAAAAACAAAAAAAAAAGAAAGAAAGAAAAGGAAAAGAAAGGCCTATAAATGAGAAAATGGCATATTTCTGCCATGGGGGGGGGGCTTCATTGTGAATGAAAAGGTCTTTATCCTGCCAGAACCTGAGACCCAGCATGGGGCTAATCCCCAGGTCACCTTTCCTTCCTGGATCCAGGCAGCAACTCTTCCTCCTAGGGAAACTGGACTTCTGGGGTCTGGGCTGGGGGGGGGGGGGGGGGGGTCAATGGGATACGGCATGGAAGGCCATGCCCTCCTTACCTGAGGCTATGGTACCAGCCAGGCTTGCCAGACTCTGCAGGCCGGGGTGGGCGGTGGGTACTGAAGGTGCCAAGCCGGGTGGGCTGGGGGAGGGACCTGGCATGGGTGCCCTGAAGCTCGTCCTTCTCAGAACAACGTGCGGGACATCACGAGCGCACTGTTCATGCACGTGGAGAAGGAGTCCACGGCCAAGGGCGTCCCGATCCCCCGGGAGAAGATCATCAACATCATCAATGACATCTTTGGAGCCGGTAGGACACAATCCCCCCCACCCCCCGCACACACACATACACCCCTTCAACCACAGCAGTCACCCTTTCCCCCCTGCCCTCCCTGCCCAGTCTCAGATCCCCAAGGAACCTGCTGATTGCAAGGTGCAACCAAAGGGGACTCAGAGGCCCTCTCTTCTGGGCCTCAACTTCCCCATCCAAACCCTTGCAAGCTCTCAGACCTGTAAATCCAAGTGCTATACCATTCAAGCAGCTAAGGAAGAAATGGGCATCTCAGTGGCTCACGCATGTCATTGTAGCAACTTAGGAGGTCCAGATCTGAGGACCACAGTTCAAAGCCAGCCCAGCCCACAAGTGGCCCTGTGGCTCAAAGTGGCTGAATACTAGCCTTGAGGAGAAAAAAGGCTCAGGGACAGGGCCCAGGTCATGAGCTCAAGCCCCAGGATCCCCAAAAGAAAAAAGAAACAGACATATTGCCCAGCCTCCATGGCTCACATCTGTGATCCTAACCCACTCAGGAGGCTGAGAGATCTGAGGATCATGGTTCAAAGCCAGCACCAGCAGCCAA